CAGGGCGAGGTTGCGGTGGCCGGGAGCGGCCACTGCACTCCGGTCTGGGCAACAGAGTGAGATTCCAACTCAAAATAATAATAATAATAATTTTATTCCTTCCTTTTTGCTTTATCTATTCAAGTTTTACCCTGGGCCAGGCATTGCACAGATGCTGGGAACACTGTATAGACTAACTCTTGGTCCTACCCTCGAGGAACCACAGCCTAGGGAGGGAAGTCAGTGAGGTAACCATGCAAATGCAATGCAGTGTGACAGGTGTCACAACAGAAGTACACACACAGTCTAATGAGGCTGCAGAGGAGGATGACCCATAGCCTAGCAAAGTCAGAAACAACTTCAGAGAAACCACGATTTCTTTCTTTCTTTTTTTTTTTTTGAGTCAGAGTCTCACTCTGTTGTCCAGGCTGGAGTGCAGTGGCACACTCACAACCACCCTAGCAACAAGCTGCTGGTCTCAGGCGATCCTTCTGCCTCAGCCTTTCAAGTAACCAGAACTACTAGGCGCATGCTACCATGCCCAGCTAATTTTTGAGTGATTGTAGAGACAAGGTCTTACCAAGTTGCCCATGCTGGTCTTGAGCCCCTGGGCTCAGACAATCCTCTCGTCTCGGTCCCCCAAAGTGCTGGGATTATAGGCTTGAGCCATCACACCCGGCCAAGCCACAGTTTTTGAATGCTGCTACAGGATAGGTTCAAAACATAGACAAGGATGAAAGGACATTCCAGGCAATAACAACCTATGCATGAATGGAGTAGTGAGCAGAACAAGACTTCCTGAGACCTACAGGCAGCTCCGCAAGGGTGCAGTGCAGAACATACAGAGGAAGAGATGGGAGATGAGGTAGAGGAGGGCCTCGTATGCCACACTAAAGAGTCTGGATGTGATCCTGTAGGCATTGTGGGTGTGCTACTTGGAGGCATTAAACTGCAGAGTAAGATGGCCAGATTTAGCTTTGGAAAGATCTGTCTCACAGAGGGAACGGAGAGTAGATTGAACAGGAGTATGGGCCAGGTGCAGTAGCTCAAGCCTGAAATCCCAGCACTTTGGGAGGCCGAGGCGAGAGGACTGCCTGAGCCCAGGGGTGTGAGACCAGTTTGGACAACTTGGCGAGACCTCATCTCTACAATAAATCAAAAAAATTAGCCGGGTGTGGTAGCGCACACCTGTAGTTCTGGTTACTTGGAAAGGTGAGGCGGAAGGATCCCCTGAACCCAACATGTTGTGGCTGCAGTGGCTGTGAGCATGCCACTGCACTTAAGGCTGGGCAACAGAGTGAGAGTCCGACTCAAAAAAAACAAAACAGGAGTGTGATGAAGGCAGGGAGGTCAATCCAGGTGAGATATTGCAACCAAAGCAATTTGTAAATGTAGACTATTCAGAAGCACTGATGCAATGAGGGTCACAGATGCTTGGTTCTCTATGGAGTTCTGGAGCAATCTACAGGTGTTTGGCAATCTACAGGTATTGGCTGAACTCATATGACTCATAACATAGGTAGAGATCGAAGATGTGTGTGGGTCCACTATGGCATCAAAGACCTATACCATAATACCTGCATGAGGTGAGTCTATGCAATTCAAACTCCTAAGTTTGATTCAAATGCTACCCCAGGGTTCTAGCCTCCAATTTCATTCAGTTTTCTCTCTTGTATCAACTCTTTGGTGATAACAAGTGGCTTTCAGCACCCCTCACAGGATAGGCTTCCCGTGCCTCTGCACACATGTCTTTCTACAATCCCTTTTTTCCCAGCCCCCATCCACTTGGCAAATACACTCATCTGTTAGCCATTATTTTCATTCAACATACATTAATTCAACATCTTTTCTGAGTCAGACACAGTTTGGGCGCTGATACACAGCAGTGAACAAGACATGGTTCATTCTCCATTGAATTCACAGTCTCAGCGTGAAACAAAGTAGTATCATAAACGTAAGAACAGGATACTGTTAGAGCACTCGGGGAGGCTTCTAGGGCAGTCTAGGGAGGTCTGAGAAGTTGCCTAGAAAGAGTAAAATATAAGCTGAGATCCAAAGGATAATTTTAAAAGTAATAGCTAAAGGTTTACACAGCACTTGTTATGTATCAGGCACTCTTCACTCACTTGTATATGAGGCACATCACATACAAGGGGGGACCCCCTCAAAAAAAACAGAATTATCTTTCTGGAGGGTAGGCCCTTTGTAGAACAGGTTTCTCCCACTAAGCGTTTTAGGAATTCATTAGCATCAGTGTACAAGCTAGCGTTGTTGTGAGATGCTGCATATGACTTCAGTTAATTTTTTTTGTGGAGATTCAACATATATGCTCATTTCATGACAGTTAATTTACAAGTGCACCTACCCACACTGCTCTGAGTGTTCAGCAGTTTTTGACCAAAAACTCCATGACTCCTGTGCCTCACCCTCCCTATTCACTCAATCACCTTTTTTGTTTGTTTGCTTCGCTGGATGAAAAAAGTCCTCTAAGGGAAACATTTTGCCAGTGTAGAAGAGGTGAAACAAAAAAACAGCAGAAGCTCTAAAAAGCATCAAAATTGACAAGTTCAAAAACTGTTTTTGTTTCTCGTTTTTTGTTTTGAGCAGTGGAAAAAGCGTCTCTGTAGGTATCTTGAATCAAACAAAGAGTACTTTGAAGGTGACTTTGAAGTTTAAACATGTAAGAATAAATACACATCTTTTTATGAATAAATTCTGGTTTTAGGGGGTCCCCCTTTGTACGTCAACCAAATTCTCACAAGTTGATAAGGCAGGTCCCATCATTATTCCTGTGTGTCAGTTCAGATGACAAGATGAAATAAGACATGGGAGAGAGTCTGGGGAAAACCCCTCCAGAGAACAAAGGGGAAGGTGCAGGAACAGGTGGCAATGCAGGGCTGACACCACTGAAAGGAGAGGGAAAAGGAAAGAGGAAGTGGGAAAAGCTTTAGAAAGTCTCAGCCAGGCCCGTGGGAGTCTTTGAGCAAAGACTATCACTGCAGGAGTCCCACAATGGGAAGAACTGGCCCAGCTCCAGGACTGCCACGATGCCAAGTCATTGGCTGGAGGGTTCCCAAGAGGAGTGTGCTACAACGTAAATACCACAGCAGATCGAAGGGTACAGTGGCTGCAGGCTATAAGTCAATCTCCTCACAGCAGTCTCTGGAGGGGAGGTCTGAGCCATGCACCTTCATAGCTGCCGCACTGTTTTATAGATGAGCACTGAGAAACCGAGTACAGCACCAGGCAAAGGAGAGGACACGAATGGTCAAGGCAGGAGATTCTCCTGACCTCTCTTACCCTGCCCCCTGGTCTAACAGAATGGACTCCAGCCTCTCTGGCATGCCCACTATGCAGTTGGGTGTAACGTGAGGCCTGCTGCACCTTGTTGCCAAGCTTCTCCCATTTTTCAACAGTAAGGCCCTTGGGAGCCCAGGTCATCTGTACCTGGCACGGTGAATGACACAAAGTAAATGCTTAATAAGTGATGCAAGATAAATTGAGTAATACCAAATGAAAATATCCTTGCCAGGCATGGTGGCTCATGCCTGTAACCCTAGCACTTTGAGAGGCGGAGTCAAGACGATTGCCTGAGCCCAGGGGTTCAAGACCAGCCTGGGCAACATGGCAAGACCTTGTCTCTACAATATTTCAAAAAATTAGCGGGGTGTGGTGACACACGCCTGTGGTTCCAGCTAGCTGGAAGGCTGTGGTGGAAGGATCACCTGAGCCCAGCAGGTTGAGGCTGCAGTAGCCATGAGCATGCCACTGAACTCCAGCCTGGGTGACAGAGTGAGACTCCCACCCAGAAAAAAAAAGCAAATATCCTGATTTAAAAAAAAAATAGCAGAGAGAATGAGCCAGAGAAGTAGAGAAATAGAGCTGGTGGAAGCCAAGGAAGAGGGGCTTAGTGAGGATCATCAGCGCAATGGGAAGAATGGAGAAATCACTGGGGATCTTAACAGGAAGACACTTGGGAAGTCACGGGCACAGAAACCAACCTTCAGCAGCTAATGGATGAAAGTGGAGCCAAATGAAGACTCTTTTTTCAAAGGCCTGGTCTAGGAAGAAGGGGAAAGGAGGCAGTAGTTAGAGGGTGATGCGGTAGTTAGAGGAGGGGAAAGGAGGGTGTAGAGGAGTGAAACACAAGGAGACAGTGAGAAAGGAGAGCAGATAATAGTGGTATCTAATGACCCCTCCCTCTCTATGCTCCCTCTCCTTTCTCCTTCCCTCTCCCCACTCCACCCTCTCTTTCTCTCCCCTTCTCTGAAGCCTCCTGCCTTTCTCCAATCTGAGTTCTCTGGCCAGCTGCCTCTGTTCTGCCCTATTGGCATTCCCTGGTGTACTGTAGTTACACAGAGGACTGCATCCTGCCTGTTTATTGACTAAAAGCATAATTTCTTGATGCCAAAGATTAAAGTCCACTTCTCCCATTAGGGAGAAGTT